GGATTTGTACTTTTAATCTTTTATTTTATTTAGTTGTCGATGGAAAAAGCTTTTTTATAAGTTATAGCTAAATTATAGAATATTATTGTTCGAAATCGGGTTTCAATTTATACATCAATTTAACTTTATCATTATTTACAGAATGAATTATATTATTTATAAATTTTCTTAAAGCTTTATAGAAAACAAATTTAATTATAGATTTGTGCGGGATTGCTGAAAAAAATTATAAAATTTTCCTCTAATAGCCATTTTACGTTAAACAACGAGCTGAATATAATTAATTATTATTAAATTATACCAAATTTTAAATTGAATAAACTTTCTATAATATTTAGTTTATAAATATATTTTAAGCTTCCATATTTGTTTTTTAACTACTTATGTATTAGAAATAATTTTTCATTAAAATAAAGTCGCTTATTTAAATTTTATTAAATTTAAATTAATTTAAATCTTTAACTACTCCCACATTTTTTATTTTTTGTTAATGAATGTTCACAAGAGAATCATAATCATATACGTTTGTCGTCTTATTATATATGGTTTGTAACGACGGCTACACACGTTTCGTCCCAATTATTAAAAATTACATATAATTTATATTTATTATGTTTAAAAAACTTACACCCTGGCCTTCCACTTTACCGTCAACAAGGTTAATTGTTCTTGAGCTTTTTGTTTTCCATGTAAATTCCTTCTAGGATAAATGTCCTTTTTTAATGGATTTGTACTTTTACTTTTTATTTTATTTCATATTAATTTAATATATTTCTCTTTTTAGTATATTTATTTAATATTTTCATATCAATTCAATTTACAAATTTATTTCTTTCAATACAATGTTTTAATTTAAATGATATCATGAATTATTCATCGCTTTGATTATCATCTCTTAATAAAAATGATGCACATATTTACTCAAAAGTTAATTAATAAAATTTAAAGCTTATTCCATTTTTTAATTTTATAATTTTTTCTATTTCTTAAATATATTTTGTAATAACTTGGTGTATTTGCCTTCGTTGTCCGATACTGAATATTGTTTTGTTCTATTATTTAAATAATTTTTTCAGATTTACATATAATACTTTAATATAAAATTAAAAAATTTACTGTAGTAAATATCAATAACCACTTCCTGTTCGAATACACAATTTAAATTTATTTTTAATTTTTGAAATAAAAGTTAAAAAAATATTAATACTTTTAATGTAAAATTTAAAAAAAATGCGATATTTTAATCCCTCAGGTGATAGATGCTCGTTGTCCGATAAAATTCTATAATAAATAACATAAATTTAAATATTTATTGCTTAATCCCTTAATTTTTATGTTATTTCTTCATCTTCCTCATTTTTTTGTAAATTAATTTAATAAATAATTTGTGATTTTTCTAATATCTAAATTATTTTTACATTAGTTATACAATATAACAATGTCCATTAAATATACATATGTAGATTTAATTAATTTATATTATTTTAATTAATTTAATGTTATTTCAATTGAGTCGCCTGAGCTTCTCCTTGCTTGTTGCCTTTAAGTCAAATTATGAAGAATAACAAATATTAAATTTAAAAAATTTATTAGAGTTTATCGACGCAATTATTACTTTAATAATCTTGGTATAATTTTAAATATTCATATTTTCAAAAAATAGTACATTCATATTTTCATCCTCTATTTTTTTCATATTTTTCAACTTGCATAAAATATCTGTGTGTAATTTGTGAGGCCCACTCATTTGTTCTTCCTGACTCTGTCATATACTCTTCTACTATATACTTTATTATTTTTATATACTGATTTTTGTAAATAAATATTAATTCTTAAATTTAAATTTTATCGCTTAATTTTATAGCAAAATATAAATCTAATAAATTTAAAAAATTTAAATTTAATTCATGAAAAATATAATTTTTTAAATTATTTCTTATAATTTTTCCACTGTTATTTTATATTTTTAATTATTAATTATAAAATAAATTATAACTTTTCTGTCATCATTGTCCATTGATTGGCTTCATCGTATAACGAAATTTTTCACAACATTATGATATTGCTTTCAAAATCACTTCATATTTCTTAATAAATATTATTTTGTGTAGAAATCGAAATGTTTATTAATTGTTATTTTTATTAATAAATTAATCGTATAAGAGATGAATTTTAAAAAAATTTATTTTAATTTCTATATTAAAAATTTTTGTTAAATAACTAGTTATTAATTAAATTAATTAAATAAATATTATCTTCTACTATTATCTTCATTAATTTATTTTCAAATTTATTTCTTGAAATATTATTTTATTTACATAATTTTTTAAATTTACATTTTTGTTAAAATATATTTAAATGTTTTTGTTTCATAATCAGCTTCAGAATCTCATTGCCACGTTTTTAATTAATAAAAAACTAATTTATAAATTATTCTATATTTTTAAAGTCTTCTGCGCCATTCTTACTCTTCTTTGGTTTGCAAAATCATAAAAAAATATTTAAATACTTTATAAAATTTTACTGTAAATTTTAACTTTTTTAACATTTTAATTTGGTAATATTTTTAAAAAAATTTTTTATTCTATAATTTTTATTACCTGTTCTGCCAAACGTTGATTTTATTTTATATTTTTGTTAAAAAAATTTTTTTATCATCATACGAACGCAAAAAGTGGGAATTTTAGGAAATAAGAAAAAGGGGTAACACAAACTTAACTATGTATTACCAAGAAATATATGGTTTTAAATGTGACATTTTGTGTCAGAACATGATAATACTATGGTTAATTAAAAGTGCTAAATAATTAAATATTGTAAAAAATATAATAATATTTAATATTTTTTAGTAATAATTTATTTATTTAAAATATTTTTTTGGTTTAATTGATTGAAAAAAGGCCATTTGCCTTGAAAAATAATGGGAAAGAAATATTGGAAAAAGTAAAACACAGCCACTTATTTAGATATAACGCTGCGATAATAAAAAAAGAGGCTAAATGTTTGCTGTTTTAGGAGATGAGAGTATCTATGTATATTACTTCCATCATTACTGAGTATTTAAAAATGGTATACATACAATTAATAAGGAAAATAAAGTAAATAAATACTTATTAATTTTAGAAGATGAAATGATTTTAAATCAGATAGGCTTTGTTAATTAAAAACACTATGTAAATTTAGGAGATATAATGCATATAGAACTATCATTTAAAAAATCTTTGACCACAAAAATCAACTTGGTCCTTTTGTGGTTTTTAAAACTTTAGCGGCCTGCATTTCGGTCCAAAGGCATTTCCGCAATAGTGATTTCGACTCAGCTCGCCGAGACGAATCGAATGACATGTTTCTACCCGGTTTGGAGCGGACCTTCGACTAAACTAAAGCCAGTTTGAATAAATACTGTGTGTAACAAAACTATAGCCCCCTTGTAAAAATTTTATTTTTCATATTAGAAATGCCTGAAAAATTTTGCAAAAATTTCTGTGAGCATTTCCATCAATATTAAGTAGAAAAGCAAAGTCTGTTAATTATTTTATCATCGAGATCCAAAATCTCCGAAATCAACGGGAGATAGGCGTATAGTACTTAAAAAATCTTTTAACACCCTTTGAGGTTATATAAAAGTTTTCTGTTAGGCCCATCAAAATCACTGTATCCTGAATCCCTCGTTATACTTGTTAATGCTCTAATGCCATCAATTTCTCCTAAAGCCTCTGTTCCCTTCATTGAGTATTTTTCAGCAAATTTTGGAAGGCCAAGAAGCTAGATTTCTTTTTTATTTTTTGTGCCGCAGTCGAAAATTTTTTGATTTTAGTTTATCAGAATGCAAATATACACGTTTTAAGCCACTAATTCTAGAAAAAAAATTAAACGAATTAAACGCCGTTTAGAAGGACCGTATACCGTTTATGCCGTTTATTTGAGACCCGTATACCGTTCCGTTTAATTTTGCCAAAAAACCCGTTTCCGTTTATCTAAACGGTTTTGTGCAACCCTAATTAGAACCTTAAAAAATTAAAAAATTTTAGGTGGGCTATAGTTTTGTTACACATTGTATATAGTTTATGAAAATGTGCATAATGCGAACCCTCAATTGTCAAACTACCCGAACCCTAGAAATATCACAATTCTTAGCTTAAGGTTCTTTAATCTGAATGTTCTAATATTATATCCATAAATTTAGGGTTAATCTTCTTCGGCTTTTTCTGAGTTAGAAATTTTCGATGAGATTTTTCAAATTGAAATGCTGCATTTAAGGCCATCATCTATTAAATGTTAAATTAGTGAAAAAATATATCCATCATAATAAAGTATTTTACCAAATTAACAACTCTCCCTGCCCCGCCAGCATCACCCAATTTGCGGCATTCGTAAAACATTAAAGCTTTGGAAAGTTTTTCAATTTCAGTTTGCACTGTTTCATATCCATTCATTGACAAGTCTGATTTAGCTAAAATTTGCATATACCTTTCAATGTATAGTAAAGCGGTTGGTCCCGTTACCCATTGCCTCGTTTGGTTATTGATGTTATACGCAGAGTCGCGGATGTTGCAATCATGTGTGTGAACTCCGCAGAGTTAGAAATAAGTGAATTACACGCAGTGGGGGAATATAGGGAGAGCGCTCTTCCCTACAAGACTCGATGGATTGAACGGCCGGCAACTTGTTGAATGAATGAAGAAGTGATCTGCCTTTGCCTATTACTTTAAAGCTTATATGCACAAGCTTACTTCCCAATCACTTTCCCAAGGATAAGTTAGTGGCGATGGTTAGCTTAGATATCGGGTGGCTAATAAATCTCTGGGAATGGCCGTTTGTGGCATTCATTGCCTTGTCTTTGGTAACCTCCGTTAACTAGAGCGATGATTGCTCTTCACGTGTTTTTAGGATGATCCCGGCCTTACAGTATTTATTTCTACTCAAACCTGAGTGAAGAAAAATTAATGTTCTAATAATCAAAAATTCTTCTCTGCTCAGATTAAATTCTTTCATTATATTTATATGCTTGTAGAATACAAGATAAAAAAGTTTCGAATGAGTATGTAATAATAAAGGACTAAATCCATTGGGAAATATAAGAAACTCGCTTCCTTGAATGTTTAAACTGTAATATAATTGACTAAAAACAATTGTTGCCAGTCCATTTCGAGTATAAAGCCGAACCTAAATTTTTTGTGTTATACATTTTTTAATATTTCTTTAATTAACTTTGTCTTCAAATGAGAGTTGACTTAATACTGGCAATGTTTTTGTCATTTCAATAATTAAAAATGAGTCGATGAAAAGCCAATTTGGAGATACAGGGCCATCATTACCTTGACTTATCCTTCTGTCACTTTCCCTCATTCGTTCCTGGTAAAAGGCCAGGCTTTTAGGTACTCTCCTCTGATTCTAATAAATTTTAGCAAGAAAATTTATAATTATAAAGTGAACGTAATCTACCGAAAATTGATCAGATCTTGACAAGATAGAATAATTTAAACCTCCTCCACCAATATTATTTATAATATCAGATATACTTTTATTATAAAAAATTGATGAAGAAAAATCTGTCTCAGAGTAACGAATATGCAGAAGATTATTGTCAGTGTATAACAAGATCTGTAATAATTCAACTTCAGGTCGTTCTGTTCTAACTACAATTTCTTTTTTCTAAAATGATGATAATAATAATAATTTTAAAAAAAGGCCCGGAACACGAAACACTATCCGGGAACTTTTCGAGAACACGCCCCGAACCACACATTTTTCATTGAAATTTTTAAATTAAGGAATAAGGTGGCGGATATTAGCAAAGTTTTAGATATCCGGATCTGATATCCGAACCGAAAGTTTCCGGGTATCCTGCTTATTTTCGGATCTGGATGTCTTATTATAATAATAATGAAATATGGACGGCTCATTCCTGGATCCTAAAAAGGCTCATCCGTGAGGAATATTCGAATTATGCGGTCAGAAATTTGCAAATCCGTTACCATTATTGAAGATTTTTCCTTGAGTTGACGTTTTTTCTCCGTTAATAATACAGAAATTTGCTCTATATTAAATCCCTCCGGAAATTTTTGTATAGTTCTAAAGTCCATTCCACTTAAAAGGCAACGATCAAAACGGCATGAACGGCAAAGTTCCCCTTAAATTTTCAATATCTTAAGTTCAAAATTGCCTAAAACTTTCTGAATACCTTTTCCAATTTGGCAATTTGCATTCTTCTTACAAATGTACGAGCGTTGATTTAGTACAGATCGACGAAAGAATGAACGGCAACCTGTACACAGAGGAATTATTCAGTTTATGTTATGTTGAGGACTAGATTTATTTGATATTGGAAAAGCTCTGACGTACCTAGACAACTTGGAACATCAAAATGGCAACATTTTGTTGGTCTGGCACAAACAACACAATCAGTTGGCCTAACCTTCCTGCTCTGAAAAATAATACAATAAAATATCCCTCATAAAATATCCCTCAATTTCCGATTTCCGGTGTTTTTTTCCTCCGATTTCCGATTTACAAAAAAAAATTTGATTTCCGATTTTCGAGTTCCGACTTTTAAGCCAGTTCCGATTTCCGGCTCTTTCGATTTCCGACACCCCTGACTGTTCCGACCCACTCTGATAAGTAGTACACTTATCAGTTATGATTTAAGCAAAATGCTTGCCTAATTTAGAGGATCGGACTAATAAAAATTTGGAAAAATAATTAACAAAATTAATACCAATTTGGTATTCTTTTCATTATTATTTTTCTTAATAATAACTGCTCTATCATTATTGTTGTTTGGAGTTTTAGAAAAGCATAAAAGTGCTTCTTTATCAAGCTGATTTTCTAAATCCTCTAAACTGATATAATCATTAGTACTAAATCCAAGTGAATTAAATGTTGAAATATTATGGATACTGTCGTTAACTTCTGAATTCGGAAGTGAATGTGGAAGAGACATATGCCCGCCTTAAATTATATAAGGTGATTATTACTTTATGATAAATAACATTCTAAAGACGTTTATTTTTCTTTCATTTCTAATAGGGTTCTTTTGAAATTCAATTTCCGAAAGTTCCAATTTCCATCGAAATCGACCTTTAAACTCTAAGGTTCTCTTAACTCTAACTACCGTATTTCTTCTAATAGTGCGACCGGTCTGTTTTTACTATTAGAAAAAATACGGTATATCCCATTAGGAGGGAGAGGAGAATACAACCCGAAAAGCACTATTGCCAGAGAAGATTATAATTTGTAATTATAATTGAAGATTATATTATATATAACTAAACATTATATAAGTAATTTGGTTCTTTAAAAATAAAATTGTTAAAGTAAAAAATGAGTTAAAATATTTTAAAATAAAATTAAATTTTTCTATGGCAACAAAAATTTAATTAAATCAATGAAGTAAAAGGAAAAAGCGAAAATTTAAATTAAATTCTAAATAAATAATACAAAAATTTATTAAACTCTTTATTTAATAAAAATCGTAAACATTAAATAAAACGTAAATATTAAATAATTAAAATGTTTAATCATCTTTTATTTAAATAAAAATTACCAAACAGCTAAAATGTATGTGTGTAGATGAAAACGAGAAAATCTATCAATATAAATTGAAACGTGGATAAATTCGCTATGAATATCAATTCCAAAAATATCCATTCCAAAAGATCAAAAAATAAAATATTTATTGAAAAATTTTAAAAGTTTAATTATTTGAAGTAAAGATGGAGATAAAGGAAAAAGGGTACTTCTCCGTTATCCCTTTTTTTATTTTGTGGAGAAAAAATGCGATAGCATTTTCATCAATATGGACTCATAGATAAAGAATAGATAAATGTGAAGATAAAGAATAGATACATAAAAGTGTTTTGGTTTCATCGAATTTTGCTTACTGAAGCTGCTGACACACGGCATATACATATATCCTTTATTCTCTACTAAATTCTCAAATTAAATAAAAACAGAAATTTAAAAAGAAGCTAGGGTTACATTCAGAAATAAAAGTTACATTAAAAATTAATGAAAAATTATTTTGGAAATCTTTTATTCTAATCAAAAATTTCAAATAAACTTTAAGCAATTAAAGAGATTATTTATTTCAAACACCTCAACAAGTCATTCTCCGTTTATTTGAACAAATGTAATTCAATTGAGTTGTTTAATTTAAATTTTATAAATTTTTACATTACGCGGGTATTCAAAGGAAGATAAATTCCAACTTCCTCATCATATATGTAGTAATTCCTTATGGTTTTTATCACTAGGCTTAGATAATAAACCAGGGCTGCCATCTGGAAAATGTTAAGTGTAAGTACAAAAAGTTAATTTGGAAGTACATAGGTGGAGAAATTTTCAAAATATACTAAGTACGCTCCAAAAATACAATCTAAAAAATTTATTTTTGCTCAAATAGTTTAGATTCTTATCTAAATGAGTTTTTTAAGCGCCGCAGGCGAAAATTTTGAGGATTTTGGAGGTTCTTAAGCCAGATTTCTTCCATTTTTTGCGCCGCAGGCGAAAATTTTGAAAATTTTGAGGTTAAATTTAATTTTTTAACCAAAAAGTCTATTTGTAAGTACGTACTTACAAATAAGTACATTTTCAATTTCATAAGTACGAAGGTCGATTTGTAAGTACTGTACTTCCAAAATAAGTACATCTGGCAACCCTGTAATAAACTAACGTTTGTTATTCATAAAACGTTAATATTATGTTTTGCTAATCAAATCAGAGTTCGGCAAAAGGCTTTTTCCGGCACCGGTATCAGACTATTTTCAACAAGTTTGAAAAGTGAAGAATAAATTACCTTTAAATATAAAGCGAACATTTAGGTTTTGCCATCGAAAACACCTTGAATGTTCGCCTTGTTTCAATATTTTTTCTTGACAATTTTTATTTTTTTTTGATTTATAGAAGAACTAAGCCTTTGTTGGACTATCATTAATGTTTTTCAATGTTTCTCTAGGATTTAAACATCGATATTTGCCATTACACGCATTTCAATCAATTAGAGTTGCGTCCTTATAGAGAGCTACACATGCGTTAATTGCTTTACCTCTAATTAGAGAGTAATAAATGGCTTTTCATTTCACAATAAATATTAATTTTGGTAAAATTCCGTCATATACCGCGAAAACCGCTTCGGACAAACATTATATCATTCGAGGAGCCGGCGAGCTGAATCGAACGAACCAAAATTAAGCTGCGGTCTCGCCTGAGGGCCGAGATACAAGCCTCTGAAAATAAATATGGGGGACCAAACATTTTTTGGGGTTCAGAAAAACGATTTTAACTTTCAGAAATTTCGAGGGATAGGGTAAGGAACGGTCCCAGACCCAGTTGGTTTAGGTCCCGAACATGAAGAAATGCTTTGGAACCATACCTTAACTTTGTAACACCAAGAAAAATCCAATTTTGTTGATGGGACGCATATACTTTCATGGGACGTATGTCCTAAGATAAAGCCAAAATTGGTTCTTATTTACTTAAAAAAGTGCATTTATTTATTTATTTATTTATTTTTCCTTAGTGCCACTCTTTCATTATTTTTAGCTATTAAGAAATAAATGTCCGTCGGGATTTACAAAGAATTTTCTAATTATACTTATAATTTTTTATTAAATTTTTATTATTTAAATTCTTTTAAATACATTTTATTCTAATTTCTTTATTTTTGAATGTAAATTTACATAGAAAATTTATTACTTTACGGAATTATCATAGGAATTATCATTAGTTTTCCATAATTCAGCTATTGCCGAATTAAAATCAGTATAATCTTTTTATAACCACATCGCTAGGGACTATTTTAGGACTCTATGTTTTGCCAACTTCTCTCCGAATAGCCAGGTTGAAAAAATAGTGAAAGAAGTTCGAGGGAGCGTTAGATTTGTTTAATCAACCGACCCCGATACCGGCCTCGGTATCGGTTCGAAAATGACCAAAACCGGTATCGTGATTCCAAATTTTTTGTTAATACCGAAATCCCGATCGGTATCGGTATTGAAAAATCGGTATCGGGATTCAAAGAAACCGGTATACCGCCCGATACCGGTCGGAATCACAATACCGGCCAACTCTATTATAAGGATAAATATTTTCAGGATTAATATGAAAATTAACAAAAATATTATTATTTATCTTTTACTGATTATCGTATTGTTATTTAATTTTATTTTAACGGTTCGACGACCACCAAAAAATAAAAAACGTCCAGATAAAGCTAAAAAATCTTATCCAATTTATATTAAAAAATTAAAATTATTTGTTGAAAGAGAAAAAGAGAAAAATAATTGCAACCAAAAAATTGATAAGGATTTGTGTCCAAACGAGCAAGTACAAAAACAATTGGTTAAATA